CTCCAGGGCCTGCAGAAGTCTGTATACCCCCAACCCAAAGGCCCAGTCCTCCATGGACTGTTGCAGACTGCTGGAAGTTGAGGTGGCCCACTTCAGTGCAGGCCCTTTCAGCAGCCCCAAAACAGTTGCCACCTTGGTCTGTTCTGCACAGACAAAGCCCCTCAAGTAGGCTTTGGTCCCAGCAACCCAGTCCCCAACATCAGTCTTGGGGTCATCGCCCCTGAACTTGTTGGGAGCAGGGATCTTGGGACCTCTGACTGCTGCAGTCACAACAACATAGGTGGCCTTTGCTGAGGCCTTTTGGGAAGGAGTAGATGACCGGGAAGAATGTACAGATCCCCCATGAGATGGAGGGGAAGGAGGTGGTGAAGGAGGAGGAGAGGTTTTGGGTTTCAGCAGAGGGAGCTGAGGAGTAATCAGCTTGGCGGCTGCCAGTTGAGCAGACAAGCCGTGGATAGAGTCCAGGATCTTGGACTGCTGAGCTGACAGCTCGTCAACCCGACGCTCCAGCCGCACAAAACGGTCATCCCAGTTTGTAAACTGGGAGCTGGTGATCTTGTGCTCCAGCAGGATCATCTCAGCCATGTGCTTGATGATCTGGGCACAACGGTCATCAGTAAGTGACCTCTCTAGCTGCTGCAACAGATACTCCCTTCTGGAGTGATTTGTTGCAGCCTCTAGCTCAGCAGCCTCCAGCCGTTCCAATTCGGCTACTCTGGCCTGTTGCAGCTTTAGCTGTTCTTCTGCCTCCTTCTTCAGCCGCTGAGTAGCAGTCAGAGGTGGAGGGGGAGTAGTGGAGGAAGAAGGCTGTTCACCTTCTGCCTTCACCACAACCTCTACATGTGGCTGTTGCTCATTCCCCTGATCCGACATTTTCCCAGTTCAAATAAAACCCAAAAATAAAATAACAGCAGAAAGAATTGCAGCGATACACAGATTCCTGCAGATCCCCTGGAATCGCTGCAGCACTCAACACTGGAGTAGGTGGGTGAGTAGGCAATCAACGGTTTGGGGTTAGAAGGGCGTCTCTGGGGTCAGGTGTCAGGTAGACTATAAGTCCAACAAAATCAATCACACGATTTCCTTTTACTGACCCTGGACCACACTACTGGAAGTCACACAATCACTCCACTAGTCTTCCAGAGACCCACTAGAAGTTCTAGTGTCCACTAGAAAACAAGTGTTTTCAGTGGGAATGATAGAAATGGTTAGTACAGACACAGAGAGATCAAATACCACAAGCGATGCAGATAGAGACCCTATAACCTGACTCAGACTCAATTTCAGACACTGATGACTCTGGCAGCCATACCCTAAGGTATGGCGAATCACAGTTTTCACTGAAATACTAGAAATCCAACTCTGCGATTTGACAGTACTGACAGTTTTCACTTTGCCATTCACTGGGGATTGACAGAACTGAATTTTGACGGACAGAATTGAAGTTATGACTGACCCTAGATAGTACAGGCTAAAAATAGACTCGGCGCAAAACAACAATTCCCAGTATCACTACTTTTCCAGTGCAGAATTCACTGTTTAAACATCCCAGGACAATCGCAATACAGTATAACTGTCACAGGACAAGTTTGGACTGGAAAGAGTCAACAGATGATATGAGCAGAGGGAGGTAGGGGGAGAGATGGCTATGGCTGTCATGCAGTCTGCGATTTTCATATCCAGTCACTGACAGATAGATAGACCATTATCTTTCACTAATCTATTACTATCTGGATCGCAATACAGGTAGGTGCATGGAACGGACTCACTTGCAGAGAATCGTGCAGGTGATGATGAAGACCTGGCTATGGCTGATGATACCCTGATCTCGCCGATTTCCTCCAGAGCTTCTCCCAGACAATCCCACGCACAGAACCTCCTCAAAATTGTTGATCCTCTTCAGGATCCTGTGGCGCTGCACCCCTTCACTCCAGATACCCTGTATCTGGTCCTGTGGCACCCAATTCGCCAACTCCAAAATATCTCGCCACAGTACCAGGTGGCCGCTGATACTAAAAATAGCCCCATATGGGGTTATTCTTCCTGGAGATCGATTCAGGATGTCTATCTCACCCAGCGCCACCCAAGGATGCTGCCGCTCAGGGTTCCCTGATGTCCTCAGGGGGAATTCGCCACTCTGGGGTAATTCGCTGTATCACCCTCAGGGTTGGCTATGGCGAATTAGCCCTGCACTCGCCACTTCTTGCCAAGCGCCCTGACAGGCTCAATGCGCTTGTTCAGTGCAACCACTGAACACTTGAATTCACCGCTGAAAATCTTCTTCCGTGCTGACTCAGTACTGGGGAAGATGAATCGCCATGAAGCTCTTGCCAGTATATCGCCAGGATGAAGAAGATGCCTCAGTGCGCTCAACCCTCAGTGCTCCAATTCCAATCTCGCTCCGATACCAACTGTTATGAACTTGGTTGTCTGACGAATTTTCTCGCCACTCACACACAGAGTCTCATCATGCCCATACATGCACAAGAGATGGGGAGAGGGGAGACAGAGTCCACACTGCACACCGGTAAAGATAAACAGCGGAAGACAATTATGCACAGCAGGGGAGAAGACACACAGTGTTTCTCACTCTCTGACACAACTCCCAACAACCAATCACAAGAAAGAACCTGCGAAGATCACAATTGAAACTGTCACTGATGATGAACCACTCACACAATTATCGTAACAGAGTTTGTACCAGTATCTCGCCACACTCAGAACTCACACCCCACTCTCTATCCTACACCCAGTTAGTAGCGCTGSATCAGAACAGCCTCCCAGAGGCCAGCGCCAACCACCCTGATGAAGAACAGGTCCTGTGATGAAGTCTTCAGTGCCGATGGACAACTCTGACGAAGGAACAGGCAGCKATGGCTGCCACCACCCACGAATCACCACTGTAGAGCCTCTATACAGCCCGGCCATACGCAGATACCCCCAGGGGTAGGTGCGCTGAGAGTGCCCCAGCTATGGCAAGCTCAGAGAGGGCCGGCTATGGCTGCTGTTGCGGTCCGTCACAGGATGCCGCCGGTAGACRGGTACCGCTTCCAACTCGCTTGGCTTCTCCAACGCTGCTCGCGAGGAATGAACTGCCAAAAGTCCTGAACCGGTGAGCCTAACCTATCTATAGACTCCCTAGACCTAGACCGGACTGACTGACCGACCGGTACCGTCGCTGTTTCGGCCTCTCGGYCTCTACCGGACCCGGCTATAGGCTATAGGACYGTCTAGCAGCATAGGCCGCTGAGGGCCTGTCTGTCCTAGGGGTAGCCCRGGCCTGCTATCAGCAGTTAGGGTAGCTGTAGGAATTCGGGTTAGTAGTGGGCCTATATTTTCCCAGATTTACAGATCTGTCCCTCAAGAATTTCCCTACAGGCAGGTCTCTCGGTTAGCCCTCAGCCAAACAAAATCACGAATCTAACGTACCAGTTTAGTGTACAGCCTCGCGGTTAATCTCGGCAGCAAAAATCAGCAAGTCATTGCAGTAGCACTAATACTATTAGGCAGCTCCTCTGTTGACGCAATTGCCGTCATGTAAATATGATGTAAGACATGCTATCATTGCAGTCAGATACATCCAGTCCCTGCCGTAATTGCAGTCAGATTCATCCGAAAGAGTCCCTTTGTGAGTATATGCCCTGACGATGATGTGATGTGATGCAGGTCCGATGAGACACAGCCATGTCGTTTCTTCTAGCTCGTACTCAAATCAATATATGTGTGATGATGTACCTGACCACAGTTTTTTGCTTGTGTTCAGTCCCTGTGTGCGTCCGACCTTCATTAGTAATACGGATCCTCTTATAACCATCAATTAATCAATGAATCAATGAATTAATTAATTAATTAATTAATTAATTAAAAAAAAACAGCCTCCGCTATTGCTCTTTCCTTCCCCCCTTTTCTCCCTGCCCCCTTGTGGACCCCTGTTTACTTTATTAAAGTTTATTTGGTTGAGCCTTGACCGTTTAGGCCCTTTAGGGTTTTGAGAGATGCTTGTGAGAGAGAGTTCGAACTGCTGTTGGCAGTTCCGAGTGCTCAGTTTTTTTTCACACGTTTTGTTTTTCTTTGTTGGTCCTCATTCTCATGCTGAGGAGGCATGTACTCGAGAGAAGGATAAGGGGAAGGACAAAGTATACTTATATCACGTACTAGGATAAGGCGCCGGATTCAAGGTGAAGAGGTTTCCCCCCCCCCCCCTCTAAATATCCTGCTCAGTCAATCCCCTGGATCCCAGAGTAATCAATGCTGGCAGGAATCCCATCATTGTGTGACAGATGTACTTCAATCTCAGTTTGTATAAGGGACGCTGGACCCGTTTTCCAGCAGGTGATGCTCCCCACCAATAGATGGAGCCTCTCCTCAAAAAAAAAGAAAAAAAGAAAAAAGAAAGATAAGGATCAAGATAAGGACGGCCGGCTTTGAAAGATTCAGCTGCGGTTTGCAAGGGTCTATATGAACAAGGATCAGGAGCAGGAGCAGGATAAGAATCAGAGATCGGGTGTCCTTGGGGGACAATCCATTAAAAGAACAAAGAACGATACAGAGAAAAAAGATTAGCATGGCCCCTGTGCAAGGATAACATGCATAAATTGAGACATGGCCTAAATTTTGTGGTAGGGGAAAAAAAAAAAAAAGGGATCAGGAATCAGGATCAGGATCAGGTGGGGTTTGAGACGAAGTTTATACCATATATCAGGATACAGATCAGGATACGGATACGGATCAGGATCAGGATACGGATCAGGTACATCATCACACATATATTGATTTGCAGGTGGTTTTTACATCATCGCACATATATTGATTTGCAGGATAAGGATGCAGATCAGGCAAATCAAATCCTGGGAAATGTGGTTTTTGCAGTTGTTGTTTTTCGGTCTAACTCTTGTCGTTGAGACTTGCCCCCTCCTCAGGAGGAGCCTGAGGGAGGGGGGGTGAGAAGCAAGCTGATCATCATGGAGTTGTTGTCGGTCTGTCGCCGCTTATTGTCTCAGGTGCAAAACATAACGTCTCGGCGGTTTGTGATTGCTGTCGGAGGGCGACCTCGATACTTGGGAGTTGAGGGAGATAAAGAGCTCTGCATCACAAGGTTCGGTTGCCCTTCCTTTCCTGACTGTCAGGTCTGACAGTTCTGACATGTATGTTGGGTGACAGGTTTGTGAGCATGTTTTGTTGTGCAAAGTGTGTCCTTCGGGACATCCGTTAAAATTGGAACGATACAGAGAAGGGTAGATTAGCATGGCCCCTGCGCAAGGATGACACGCATAAATCGAGAAATGTTGTGCAAAATGTGGTGACCAGCGGGCCTAGCTCAGTGGGTATACAAAAAAGAACATGTTCAAATTTTCAGATGCAAACTGCTGATAGGTGAAATACAGACGGACCCATGTGCGAATTTTCAGATGCGATCAGATGAACAAAAAAACATAATTCTGAATTGCTCGAGGTCGGTCAGCTCAATACTGGGGGGAGGGGGGAGGAGGATTAAAAAAAAGTGTGCTGTCTGTGAGGGTCTTGGCTTCTCGCCTCACTGCCAACTATTGGCTTTTTTTTTTTTTTTTTTTTTTTTCCAACGTGCTTTTGTATTCCTTTGGCACACTCTTGCAGGCATCTGGTTTGATTTGGTTTGGTTTGGTTTGGTTTGGTTTGGTTTGGTTTGTGGGGTTTGCTTTGTAAGAAAGCAGCTCAGCTCTACTCAGCTCGGCTCGTCTCAGCCCAACGTGGCTCAGCTCAGCTAAGCTCCTTTCAGCTCCTGCCTTGTCTGCCTGAACATAGTAGGAGGGAAGGAACTTTTTTGGATGCCATCCCTTTCCTGACTGTCAGGTCTGACAGGTCTGACAGGTCTGAGGAAGTATCTTTTTGTGGGTGGTGATGGTTGGGTACAATGCTTATCACGGGGCCAGGTGCCTGGATTGGGACCTGGACCTGGACCTGGACTGCGACATGGGCTGAGACCAGCACCGGGACCTTGATGGGGGACCTTGGTGAGAGCCCTGGACACCATCTAGAACCAGATTTGGATGGATGGATTGAGGAATCATGACAGGTCCCGGTCCCGGTCCCGGTCCCGGTCCTGGTCCAGGTCCTGCTCCCGGTCCAGGTCCAGGTCCAGGTCCCGATCAAGGAATCGGGACATCCAAGGTATCATGCCATGATCATGGTTATGCTGGACCGGGATCTGGACCGGGATCTGGACCGGGACCATCCTGCATCTACCCAAAGACTGATGACCTTTCTTTTTCTTTTTCTCTTTTCGTTTTACTCATTTTTTTCGTCCTGATCCATGGCACCTACTACCCCTTCCCCATGTGTTCTTTCTTTTTCTTTGTCCTTTATCCTTTTTGCCTTTTTTTCTCCCCTGTGGGCAAACTTTGGTGTTTTGTGAGGCCACGATCTTTCCTTGAATATTCACGAGGTTGTGTACTGTGTGCAGTTGTTATGTGGAGCAACTTTTTTTTTGGAAAAATACGCTCGTCTGATGTTCTGCCGGTCCGAAATATTCGGGGAAATGTTCCCATATTTCTCTGTCTGAATCTGTATGGAGTCGAACTTCCGATCTGTGTTCATTAAGAACAGTTCCAAGTATAAAAAGAGAAAAAAAAAAAGAACACTTCCACGTGCTTGTGTCATGACTACACCGGACCCGGACACCTGACCAGTCCAGACGTTCAGCCAGACCTGTGTCTGGACTGGCCCAGACCGTCTGGATTGAAAAGCCCGCTCTTCTGATTGGAAAAAAAAAAAAAAAAACGTTTTATAAAAAGTCTCCTTGGATTTGGGTACGAATTTCGAGATGGTCCTCAGCCAAAATTGAATTGTAATGCTGCATAGCATATCTTTTTTTTTTTTTTTTGAAAGTCGTATTTTTTTGGGGGGTTGGGTTGGGGGGGATGGATCCGGACACTCTGGACCGGTCACCAGACCCATTACATCCGGATCCAGAACTGTATGCACTGCGGCCGGATTGTAACCATGGTCTGTATCATGCAGCCTCATTTCAGGGCATACTCACACTAGGAGTGCAAGACATGTTTAGGTGAACCTGGCTGTCATCAAGGTCCGATACAGCAGGTGCAATCACGGGTTTGGGTCGACCTCTGGCCATCATGTTCCTTTTAACCTTTTCAGAAGAAAATATTGCAACTCTGTGACGGGAAGACCTGTGGTCATTTCTCTTTCTTTCTTTTTTTTTTCTTTTTTTTTTTCAATCTCGCCTCAGTTTTGTGGGGACTTACGATGATCCCGTCTGCTGTTCATTGACTCATGCCTGTATGTCTGTTCGGATGCCTTTTTCTTTTTTCTTTTTTTTGCAGTGATGACATCTTTTCACTGGACGGACCTCCAGGGAAGACCCTCTGTGTCGGGGCCAGCTACATCTCTCTGGAGTGTGCGGGCTTCCTGACAGGACTTGGCTATGACGTCACCGTAATGGCGAGATCCATATTCCTTCGTGGCTTCGATCAGGTATGAAACATTCATGCAAAATTCATGCAATTAATATATTTTAATATTTAAACAATTCAATCATTAAAATTTAAATATTATTCGGTGTTGAATCTGTGTCGGTTGAAGTCTGTTTATCTCCATCTTTCCGGGAGATTTCCGGGAGATGCATATCATGCGACACTTTGTGCCAGCACACTGAAAACAAAGCAAAAGTTATTCGATCGCATATCGCATGGGAGTTCCCAAAAAGTTCGGCAAGGAAATCTAAAGCTGTCACGCTGCACGCGCACGGGTGCTAAATGTTTTTTGCGGCAAGTCTTTTGAATTGAGGATGGACTAAATGTTTTTTGCGGGAAGTCTTTTGAATTGACGATGGACGTTGGAGGGTTTAGCGTGTAACAGAGGAGGGGGCACAAGGGAGGCGGAAGATTTAGGGGTTTCAACGGAGCAGGGCACAGTAGAGCAGCAAAGGTAGATAGACAAAGAGACACGAGGCCCTTTAGGGAGGAGGACCTCGTGACTCCAGAATATAACCAATGCCCCTCAGCTACAACAGCCGAGGGGAGTTCACAAACGCTTTTTTTTTCCCTTTTTCCTTAAGCCCTTGTGCCAGCCGTCTATCCCGGCGGTGGTACGAGAACGAGGAAGGGCACATAGGAAAGCGGGGAGACGGAGGGTGGACTTCCTCGTAAGCGAAACTGGCTAGTGCTGGCAGGATACCTCCGGGTCGAAGTGTGAGGTCCCCGGCCTCATTTCTCAATGTATTAATGAAATCCCCTTTCAGCGAACCTGTGGGGAGCTAGAGAGCACATCTGAGGAAGTATCTGATGTTTCTTTTTTTTTTTTTTTTTTTGGAAATATTGGACCTGTGTCAAGTCTTCTCTTCTCCTGCAACCCTCCCCCTGTGGCCCCCTTCGCCGGATTTTCAGCTGTGGATGCCTTGTTTTTTTTTTTTTTTTTTTTTTTTGGTGGATGCCTTGTTTCTATTGTTGGGGCGGCGGGGGTATTCATTGTCCAAGTACCTAGCTCATTTCCAGCCCCTCTCGGGAGTGTCATCTTATACATGCGGTTCATGATAACCTCTCTCTTACCTACCGTCTTCAACCTAAAGACCCCACGAAATGGCTGGTAATCGGGGTGTGAAATCCAGACTCCCAGCTTGCACTTTTCGAGCCACATTTCTTCGTGGCGCCTCGCTCAAGCAGAAAGGTCTGGCCAGAGTGGTTGGAGACAATCGAAGAAGAGACTTGCCAGAGTCGTAACTGTATGATATCGGCTGACTTCCTGATTGGAGTCATCCATCATGCATGAGGTTATTCATAACTCAAGTTGGAAAGCCGTGTGATGTACGACATCTTGCACGGTTTGATGGGCACTTTAGACCAGCACTCTAACCAACAAAGCTATTTTCCCATCTGGGTAATAACGGACTTGAACTGCTGGCTCTCTCGGTGTAAACAAGGCACTCTGACCAACTGAGTGGAACGGCTGGTCATTCATTATATAGCTGTATTCGGAGCAACTTTCAGCCTAGATGCATTCGTACTGACCAGATGTTCTATTCGGGTGAAGACGGTAGCTCTGCAGTCGCATTTCATTTTGCTGTGCAGGTCTTCTTGAATGCTCTGAATCTTTTTTTCTTTTTTTCTTGCTTTGGTGGGAATATGCTCCGATCTGTTTGTGGAGCGTCATTCGTCCCCGACCCAAGGAAGTGTACCGAGGGCAGGCAGGCAGCACTGGTGCTATATTTGTGCGAAGGATGCATGAATCTAGCTACCTTTGGGCAAAGTATGCATGCATCTTTGTTTTTTTTTTTTTTTTTTTTTTTTTTTTGGAAAGGGCGATGACCTTGAGGTATCATCGTTGGGCTGACCGGCGCCAGGCAATTCAGAAATATTAGGTTTTACTCTGCATAGCACGGTGAACCTGTTCGCACCCCTCCACGTTTGCGCAAACGTTTTCGCGTGTTTTCACGAACAGCTCGCGAACGTGTTCGGGCGAACTTTTTTTTTTTTTCAGAAAAAAATAAAATAAAAATCGGTTTTTGATTTTGAACTCACGTTTGGCTAAGAATTGGAACATGACTCCAAGGCAAAAGTTGCTTGTATTGTTGTTTTACATGACATTGTTTTTTTCAGATTTTTCTGAAACTTTTTTTTTTAATATTTTTTTTATGCTCGCATTCAAAGGGTTTTGGGCGCTAGTTGTAGTTCGGGCGAACATGTTCACGTGTTCGCCTCCGAACGCGAACACGATGCTACGCAGGTTCGCCATTTCAACAGTGCATGGATGTACCCACTGAGCTAGGCTCTTCGGTGCGTGCATCGTTTTCTAGTTTCTCTGACCATGAATCTAGCCACCTTTGTTCTAAGTATGCATGCATCTTTTTCTACTTTCTCTGACCCAAAGAGTGTGGTATTTGATGCAGCACGCGGCGGAGCACATTGCCCAATACATGGAAGACCACGGGACGAAAATTATTAAAAAGGCGGTGCCGGTCAAGTTTGAGGAGGCGGAAAATGGGAAGGTAGGTGGATGGTCTCTCCTCTCGGAAGGGCTTCATCCATTCTAATGAAGGTTGAAAAGATTGTACTCGTAGTGACTGTTTTATGTCTGGGTGCAATGAACCATGGCGATGGGGAGCGGGGTAGAATTTGAGGCCAACAGCTGTCGTACCTCTCGGCGAATGCCTTTTTGCGCTGACGGGCCACATGTCATGTTTTTTTTTTTTTTTTTTCAAAGAAAAACGCCTGCATCAGAGGTGATAAGTGAAGAGAATTACAAGGCATACCATTGTCCCGTGGAGAGCATGTTCGTTTTGGTCATTTGAAATCATTTCCCCCTGGTCATTTTCCAATAGCAGAGACATTGCGAAAATTTCTAGTCCTAATTGCGTGATAAATTAATGGCTGGAATTTGGGAAAAGCACCACGATCTGCGATGAAGACTATTGACTTTTTACTCCAATTGCTTGTGAAGCCACCTGTCATTGTGCCTCGTGGCAGTCTGCCATACTTTCTGACGAATGGCTGTTTGCACCTGGTCAGATTCTGGTGTCATATGCAGAGCAAGGCAATGTGCTTAAGAAAGACGTCTTTGATACTGTCATCCTTGCAGTTGGCCGAGATGCATTGACACTTGATTTGGTAAACAACGCTCTCTCTCTCTCTCTGTCTCTCTCTCTCTCTCTCTCTCTCTCTCTCTCTCTCTCTCTCTCTCTCTCTCTCTCTCTCTCTCTCT